AGAGAGAGAGAGAGAGAGAGGAACGAAATAATTGGCAGGCCCTTTTGTCCGAGATATCAATCCTCCTTATAGCTCTATAGCTCCAGCGTTGCTGCAGCCACACCAGGCAAGGAACCAGCCGAGGCAGTACGGGACAGCAAAGCCTCACAGCAAAGCCTCATCAACAGGCGGAGGAAGCTCAAAATAATCGCACCGCAAAGGTCTAGGAATGTTGCACACAGACTCCAACCTAGAAGCAATGGCCTCCAACCTATATAATAGCAATGGCCTCCAACCTAATAGCGACGGCCTCCTTGTAAAGGAAACCTGGGACACCAGCAGCAGCCTTCTCAACCGTTCACAGCACCTTACCTCGTAATATCATGCACTAGCAGAAACAGAATAGGGTAGACGGATAGAGATTTTGGAATTGGAAACGATGGTCTGCGCATCTCGCCACAAGAAGGGCGCACGCACCGAGTGTCATACAGAGCATGCATCCAAAAACGATCGACGACGAAAGGACCGAGCGGCATTGAACTGACCGGACAAATCATATAACATTATAGACAAGACTATACAAGACTCAAGCGAAGACCAAACAGTCCAATGCGGTCGAAAGTCCCATACCAGCGGTCGAAAGCTGCACAACAGGTTTTGCACCTTTGAGTTGTCTGGGGGTTATGGCAAAGTCCGGTGCCACAAGCGCCCCTTTGTGGAACTATTTGGAACTGTTTCATTCCTGTCGGTCCAGAGCTTGCTCATGCTCGCCCCAAATATGTCCATACGGGCACTGTCAAATAAACAAACTAGAAACTCTTGGATGCCAAACAAACACCTCACAATGATAGGAAATTCAGAATACTGACTGCTGTAATTGCGCTCGGAGGCTGCTTCCGCCATCTCCATTTGCTAGCTCCACAGGGCTGTGCGCAAATGTGCAGGCATCGCCTTTTTGGCAATACCCAGTGGACTCAATATATGAACCTGAGCAGGTTGAAATGCATCCACTTTTCGCAGGATACTTCAGGGGAGTTGGCACGCAAAGCGGCTTACCAATTGCATTCCCACATGCATTGCAACCTCCCAGGCACTCTGTGAACTTACGTAGGGTTCTTGATGTCTTGACTCGCTTTCAGAAGTTTCGCCGCCCTCCGTGGATCATAGCTACGGTCCATATTGCTGTCTGTGATGCCATGTGGGTGATTATTGATTGGTATTGTTCCAGCATATGCTGTATGATGATGCTGTGTGCGTCTGAAGGTTTTCTCATTTGACTTTGCAGCTCTGTAGCACATCCTTCGCGGCACAAAGCCATGGCGAAAGCGGCCTTGCCCTTTTCCTGGCCGAGCCTGGTTCGCCAACGCTCTGCTTGTGCCACCAATGGAACTACTAGCGGAACCACCTTGAATAGGACAATACCATAGTCAGTCAAAATGGGTCTTCTGCTGCCGTCTCAGGCTTCGATCAAAGCTCAACGCTTAGGAAACCCATCCGGGAAAAGCCAGCATAGCAGCATAGCGCGTGCTGAATCATGTATTCCAGATTGCGCCTCCAGGTTTCCATGATGTTGGTTTTCAAAGTTATTGCCTTGGCATTCCCCCCCCTCTGCACAAACTTATCTCTAACAACGGACTGAACATTGGACAAGCTGCGACCATCTCCGTTCGCGAGCTCTGTATGGTTGTGGGCGAATGTGCACGCGTCGCCTCTGTGGCAATAACCTGTAGACTCCAGGTATGAACCTCCGCATGCATCTGCATCTACACTGGGTGTGACTGAACTAGTCTGCAGTTGTGAGGCCAAACGTGGTCACGAATTAGACATCAACGACAAGGTAGAAGTTGCAAAGGCTTACTTCCACAAAGACTTGGGGGCGCCGAACAAATGCACGCAGGCGCTAGACGGGCCCTTGCCTGCTCGCAAAGGATGACAAGCTCTGTGTGGAAGCCCGGGGTAGTGTTGGAATCAGAGAAAAGGCTGGGAAGGTTTGGTGTCCCAATGACCACAACAATGTTGACATGTGTTGACCTTCTCTGTGCAGTCGTGTGGCACATCTTCCGAGGAACAAAGCCAACCGGAAAGCGGCCATGCTCTGCGGCTGGCGCTGCCTGGTTCACGGACGGGGTGGTCTTCACTAACGATGTCCCAACGAACTGACTGCTATTCTGCCATCCGTTTAGCCACCTACCCCCGGCAGCTACATTAGCACTGCCAAGGCTGGATCGGGCTGGCATCAGCTACAGAAACTCTGTCCAGCGACGGCCTTAAGGGCTGTTGGAGAAATCTGTGTCACCAGCTGAAAGAGCCTGCCTCCCACAAGCTTCCGCCAACGTCTCCAGCACCGCCCAACTCAATGCCTCAGGTGGCTCAGGTGCGGCGTCAGGGCTTCGGGTTTCCAGCTCCGGAAAAAGTGTTTCTGGATCCTGTGGTTCTTTTTTCCTGGTCTCTTACGGTGATAGCACAGCACTCGAAGGCATTATGTCCAAAGGAAAAAGAAAAGGTTATGAGCCCAACTCCTTTTTCTTGGCCCCACCGATTTTCGAGCGACGGTGGTGGGTCGGCTTGCGGATGGATCGATCACGCTCGCTCCCACCTGCTGGACCGCTGGTGAATCCATGGTGGAGCGAGAAGGTGAAGGCGGAGGCGCTGGTGCGTTTTCGACGCCCGGAGGATTTGCCTGCCCCCCATGATGGAGACCTTGAGGCTGATGGTGAAGCGGCACTCGACGAAAGCGCTGGTGTCTGGGAAGGGGAAGGGGCGTGGTGTGACGTCTCTTGGACCCTTGGGAGGTCGCTTGTTCGCGACGCCACCGAGCAACCGTCGAGAAGGTCGTGGCATGGGAGGACGGGGGAAGAAATCTGAGGCCAGCAGCGAAGGTTCCTCGGCTGAAGCCACAAAGATTTCCATGGGCCCGTCACCACCAAAGCAACGACCTCAGACCCGTGAAGAGTCTGACAACCTTCAAAGGGCTTTGGAGGCTGAGATGGCGATCTTTCTTAGAGAGCAAAATGCTCAGTTGCTTGAGGAAGTAGAAAGGTTGAAGAAGGGTCAACAGTGTCCTCATCGTAGTGGCCCCACTTCTACACCCTCTTCGTAGGAGCAAGTGGATGCTCCGGGAGACGGTTCCACACATGAGAATGTTTCAAGGAGCCTTCGTCTGGTCATATGATGAAGCCCACAAAAAATAATCCAAGAAATCCTAGGGAGAAGCCCAACCACACGAAGGAGCATTCCTCGGTTCACTCCCAACGGAACTCAAGCGTCGCCTGATGCACCACCTGGAGACGTGCTGCCACTGCCTCCTTTCCCAAGCAACTCGGCAGAAATTAGTTTGCAGGCCTATGATGCGATGGAAAGTCATGGCCGACGTGGAGACTCACAGTGGCTGCCGCTGAGCATGCGAGAAGGGCAAGCATTTGTTCCACGTGATGCTCGAACATCGAAGCTGGAACTTCTTGTTCACGTGACATTCCACCGGCCTCTTCGTTGACTGGTGGGTCGTTTGTTGGCCTTCAAGGACATGACCTCCGGGAGTTTGCCCAGGGTTTGGGAGCTATCATGCATGGTTGTGGACAACGTGAACCTGACGGTGTTTCTCCTCCTGATCCAGGCTGTGTACTTCACAAGATCCTCTGCGGCCGGCAGGGGGTGTTTTTGGGGCAAGTGACGGTCATGGACCGCCTGATGATGGTGGCTATGGGCGCTCCGCTCCCGTCGCAAGATGGGGGCGGTAGCAAGGCCGAACTTGCACCTCTTGCAGCTGACGCATCGCCTCTTGAATTGGAGATGGTGGAACCTCACCCTACGAGAGGCTCAGTGTTATTATGATCGCTGGAAGTTGGCTTCACCTCTAGAGCGGGCTCAGATCGATCCCAGCGAGCAACGTGGTGTGAACCTTCTGCTCGGGGCGGTTCCTGGTGATCAGCAGCAGGCCTTGATTACAGCACGTGAATTGACCTCCACAGTTGACCGCGCTGGACAAAGCGACGGGTGTGCCAGAGCTTGCTGCCCCTTTGCGATCCTGGCAGAGGCATTTCGCCAGAGCCCAGGAGATTGGAGCAGTGCTTCCTGACGGTACGCTGCTTCTCAAAGCGCTCGAGCCTGCCGCGACGCAGATCCCGACCTTGGATTCGCAAGCTGCCTTCCGCTTGGCTCAGAGTCGATTGCAGCTGGGGGTGGGTCAACATGGCGGTGTCGGGCGGTTCAGCCAATGTCTGTTGGCGGAGGTCGAAACTTTCTCCTTGATGAGTACGACGCCCTCTACACCATCTACACTTATGAAAAATAACTAATCAATAACTGATGATCCTGAAAAAGATAATTAAAAAATAGACAAAAAACTAGACGACGAGTGGCCCGAAAGCATTTTTCATCACGTAGGAAGTCAGAGTGCGAGTTATCCGGTAAGTGCTGGCTTACCCACTTCAACTATGATGGTAGCCACCCCTAGGCTCCTCTTAGTCTATTAATAAACTATTTTAGAGATGAT